TGGAGTCTTAGAAACCTTTATATGGTCAGAAGGCATTTCCATCAACTTAAAGGCAATGGGTTTGACTGTCTTTTTTTTTCGTAGAAAAACTCACCCACTGCCACTGAGTTGACACTGACTCATGTGACCCTATGTAGGGTTTCCTGTGCAACATGGGAGCTGAGAGCCTCCTCTTTCTCCCACAGAGAGGGGGGGGGTGGGGGGGGGGTTGGAAGTGCAGGCCTTGGGTTTAGCAGTCCTGGACACCACCACCTTAATACTTTTGTAAGACGGATTGTTTAAAATCATTGCAGTAGTTTTCAAGGTTGACTTTGTTTTTGTTTTGTTTTAGCTCTCTGCTAATTGTTTATGCTTTTCTTCCTTCGGATTCTTAGCTGCTCTTCAAAAGGAGGTTGTTAAGATTAGAAATCTCTGGATAAGTGGAATTTGCTGTGCGTATGATGAAGGCATTGTGCAAGGACTTGATTTCCAGGATTGAAGATAGACTTTTTTTTTTTAAACAACCTACTTTCCAGGCTATTCTATCTAGAAACCTGCTTAGTTTTTGGAGAGAACTACCATCGCTCCAACCTTTTGACTACAAAACAACATCAGCATCTTGCCCATATTCTGAGACATCAACCAAACTCCTTATTCCGCACCTGCTTTGTTTAGGCAAATGATGTGACAGTAGTTTCACTTATGTGGGTACTGTTAACTATAATGAAAAAAGGGATGGTAAGTTAGGTCCCACTTGGCTGATGAAGTTTAGTAAGTTGTTGTTGCTGTGAAGTGCTGTCCAATTGGTTCTGACTCACAGCAACCCTGTGGACCACAGAACCAAGCCCTGCCCAGTCCTCCTTCGTCCTCAGGATTGTTCTTGTATTAGAGCTGCAGCCACTGTCTCAACCCATCTTGTTGAGGACCCTGCTCCTTTTCACTGGCCTGTCTGCTTTACCAAGCATGACAGCCTTTTCCAGTACCTCGATGACATGTCTACAGTATATGCGAATAAGTCTCGTCATTCTTGCCTTCAAAGAGCATTCTGGCTCTACTTCTTCCTAAACACATCTGTTTGTTCTCTTGACAGTCCATAATACTTTCAGTATTCTTCGGCAGCACCATAATTCAAATGCATGGGTTCTTCTTCAGTCCTCCTTATTCAATGTCCAACTTTCACATGCATATGAGGCAATTGAAAATACGATGGCTTGGGTCAGCTTTTCAATACTTTAGAGGAGTCTTGTGCAGAAGACTTACTCAATGCAATGTGTCCTTAGATATCCTGACTGCTGCTTCCATGGGCATTGATCATAGATCCAAGCTAAACAAAAATCTTTGACAACTTCAATCTTTTCTCTGTCTACCAGGATGTTTCTCTAATGATCCAGTCGTGAGGATTTTGGTTTTCTTTACATAGCATTGTAATCCATAATGGAGGCCGAAATCCTTGATCTCCATCAGCACATGCTTGTCCCCTTCACTTTCAGCAAGCGAGGTTATGTCATCTACATATCACAGCTTGTTAACAAGCCTCCCTCCAATCCTGATGCCACATTTTTCTTCTTATCACCTAGCCTTTCTGAGTATTTGCTCAGCATGCAGATTGACTAAGTATGGTGAGTGAATACAAGCCTGCAGCACACATTTCTTGATTTTAAACCATACAGTATTTCATCCTGCTATGCACTTTGCATCTGTGGATTCTCCCAGCCTCAGAGTGAAAACATTTGTGCTTTGGTTGGGGAGCAAGTAAGTGGTCAGTCCTTTAGAGTTAAAAGGAGTTTGTTAGAATGCTATGTACATAATATATATATTGTGTTAAGTATTATAAGTAATCTAGAGATGGTTTAAAATTATACTGCAATTTATCTGCAAATATTAGGCTCTTTTATATAAGGGATTTGAACCCTGAATATCTGCAGATTTTGATGCAGGAGCTCTTGCAAACTAATCCCTTTCAGATACCTAGTGTATGGCCATTTTCAGCAATCATACTGTTTAAATAATAATAATTAATTTTATTTTGTAACACACATGTGTGTGCACGTGTGTGGATGAGCCCTAGTCTGGCATGGTAATTAAGCACTTGCTACTAACCAAAAGGTTAATCGATTGAACTCCCCAGCCACTTTAGGGAAGACAGCTGCTTGCACACAAGCTACAGGCTGCTGCTCAGTCCTGGGGGAGTTCTCCGAAAGCCCCACTCTGCCCTACAGCGTTGCTGTGAGGTAGAAGCCGTTCGATGGCAGTGAGTTTGGTTTGGGCTGTAACTTTCCTGAAGGAAAGGTCTCTGTGATTTGAAGTAGATTCAATGGCAACAAGTATGTGTGTGTTTTCTTTTGTTTTGTATAATAAAACTAGTCATCTTGAACATACAACATTAAAATAAAGTTAAACCTTTTGTGAAACTCTATTAAGTGCCTGTTTGTTTGTTTTTAAGGTGCCTGTTAATATACTATATGTTTATGCTTTGGTTCGATAATCATACACTTAAATTTATTCTATTTTTGTGTACATTTTGCTTTGTAGCTTTAAAGACGTTTTATATATTTCAAATGTACTGTCTAATGAGGAGGAATTCTCATTTTTTTGAAATACTGCGAATGAATAAAGATACTCCACCTCACACCCCTTCCCCTTTCTTTAAAACATTTTTTTATTTTATCTCTTCCTTTCCAGTGTCTTTTCCTTTCAACTTCGACACAGAATTAGATTTCTCTCATCCTTTAAAAAACGAATAAACTTTCCCTGGATTCTGACAGCCTATCTTTAGCTCTGTCCCATCTCTCCCTCTTTAGGCCATCCTCAAAGTCATCACGCCCCCATGTGGCTCTCTGTGTTCCCTTTGCATACACTGGTTAACCCTCTGTGTTCTGCTTTCTCTGCCAGTTAGTCATGTGCAGAAAACCTCACCGTTCTTCATGTCTCTGTAGCATTTGACCCTTTTGTGCACTCTCTGCTCTTGAAATCTCTTGTTCAATGACTTCTGTAATCAGTCTGTGTGTACTGTTCTTTTAGCCTTTCTGCTATTTATTTTGCATTGATTTCTTTTACCCTCTCAGCTTTTCTCCCATTCCATTTTTCTGACCTCAGAATTTTCACTTGCTCTCATTTCTGTTGCCTTCCTGAATAAATTCACCTCTAAGTGAGTTACTTCAAAATACCTTTCTTCTGACGACATTTTCTTCTCTCCAGAATCCTAGTAATTTATTTCTGCTTCTTTACTTGGCACAGCTGCCTTCCACCGCCCACCTGCAGCATGCGTGGAAATGCTTACGACACACGTCGTTCCATTACAGCCACCTCTTTCCCTTTCTCGGTATTTCCTTTCCTCAAAGTCGGTAACCTTATCAGACTTCACCTTTTCCTTTCCCTCAACACCTACATCCAATCTTCCACCAATGTCTACCAATTTAAACTCCCAAAACTAACTTTTGTTTGTCTGCTCTGCTCACTCTCACCTCTTGTTCCGTTCCCAAGACCGTTTGTCTGTCTCCTCAACCTGCCCAGAGTCTTGGTAATGGATGGTGACAGAAGTTAAACCCAGTTCTCCCTGACTCTATGTTTTTACCACCATACTTACTACGCTACCTATTTTGTATCAGTGACAAGTTGCATAGTAAACTCAAGACATGGAAATAGTATCAAAATTATTTTGAAAAATAATATGAAGAATGACAAAAGAATCATTTGATAATTTAACTATTTACAAAATAGTGAAAATCAACCTTTTAAAAGTGTGAACTAACCACTCTCAACTCTCAGAATATAGTCATATATCAATATCAGGATCTCTCTCTACATATATTTTTTTCTTTTCCTTATGGGAGGAATCAGATTCATATATTCCTTAAAAGAAGCCCTGGTGGAGCAGTGTTTAAGTGCTCCTCTGCTAACCAAAAGGTCTGGGATTGGAAGCCATCAGCCATCTAGGGGAGAAGGGTGTGACAGTTGGCGTCCACAAAGATTATAGTTGTGCGAATCCTATGGGACCGTTCTGCTCTGTGGTGTGGAAATCACTACGAATATGAATTAAATCTATGGCACTGCGCATATTCAAGAAACATTTTTAATCCCTTTGTCCATAATGCCAGGAACAGGAAAAGCAGCCAAAGAAACCAGTGTAAGTTAAATTCTTGCCTCCGAGAAACTAAGAGTCTCTTGGAAGAGGTGGACATACGACAAATGAACAGAAGGGTGCATGGAACGGGGGAGCCCAGACAGGTGGTAGGAAGAGTACTGGTGCTTTGGGGGGATTACAACTAATGTTTCCAAACAAATGCATTTATATAATTGAATGGAAACCTTCCTCCCCCCCTTAAATTTTCATCCATACTGCAATAAAACAGTCAATAAACAAACAAGAATGTAGTTTAACAGGTTACACATGGGGGGTGTTTAATCATTTCTGACTAATATTGACTCTACATAGGCTTTCAGAGACTAAATCTTTATGATCGCAGACAACCTCTGCTTTCTCCCAAGGTGCTATCGATCTGAAGAAGTGTAAAAAAGCACTAAGAGTCTGAAGACTGGGATCGCTGACTGTCAACAGCAAAGAGTTCTGAAAAAGCATCATGCAGAAAGCTCCATATAAATCTGAACTGTGACAAAGCATGTCTTACGGGCAGATAATTGGGAGACACAGGGTTTTAGAAGGGAAAACAACCCACATAAAAATAGGGAGTGAGAAGGTTGCAAAGTTTGTATTTTACTAAGGTACATGGGAGATCATTGGACATATTAGGGCGGAGAATCACTGAAGCCTGTTTGTGGTTACTCTAAGCCCTTGTGGAGTAGATGGGAGGGCAAGAGATGCTGCCAAGGGAATTAATTAGGAGACAAATGAAACAAATTACTAGGCGAAAGGAAAAGATCATGAGAACTCAGACTAAGATACTGACTTGGCAAAGAAGTATGACATGAGAACAAAACTCAGCAACCCTGTGATGAAGAGTCATCGAAGCCCTACATATGGACCTTTTATGTTTGTCTCTGTATTTTCTCTTACAATGCAGACATGGGATGCAGAGTTGGAAAGATCTGCAGAATCTTGGGCTGAATCTTGTTTATGGGAACATGGACCCGCAAGTCTCCTCCCCTCAATTGGACAGAACTTGGGAGCACACTGGGGAAGGTAACTTAATGTGTGACTTTTGGTTTCTGCAAACATATGCATACTCAGTTATCTTTTAAAATTGTCGGAGACTCGCTGCCTAAAAGGAAAGTAAGTAATCATAACACAACAAATATTAGGCCAGAAAGATAATTAAGTAGGTTTTTAGACTTCTGCTTTAAGTAATTGATCTAGTACTAATCAAATATTTCACTATAAATAAATATTTAAAATGAGCTATCTACACAAAATATCTCCGTATTAAACTTTATCTATGTAATTTGCTAGATTTGGTTTTAACATTTTTGTCTAACTGTGCTTGCTTTTTATGCTGATCTGCTGTAAAATAGGTACAGACCTCCAACATTTCATGTGCAAGCATGGTATGATGAAGTGAGAGACTTCAGCTACCCATATGAGCATGAATGCAATCCATATTGCCCGTTCAGATGTTCCGGTCCTGTCTGTACTCATTATACGCAGGTGTGTTCTGGGACAATTATGTTCCTCTCGGTTGAGTTAATGTCATTATGAGCGAATGTAAGCTCTGGAAGATGTGTCTTTCTTAGGTCACTTGGTATGGTTATTAAAAAATACAAATTATATAAATTTCTTGATTTATATAGACCAGCTTTATACATACATCTATAAACGATAAGAGTAAATATAGGAAAAATGACGTCAAATATCTAATTGCAAAGAGGTTCTTACATGATATTATATAGGAAACATTTGTATATGGCCCCAGTAATTGTATATGGAGAGAAAGGTGCTACTTTCAAAGTCAGCAGTGTTTATTATTTTGTCATTATGTTTTACAGTCATATTTTACCAATGACAGTATTTATACATGATGGCATTTATCTTTTTTGTTTTTAATATTCAATGTTCACAGTACTATTGGATAGATCCTAAGCCGTAAGCCAAAGGGTTGAAGGCAGATTTAATAAGATAAAGCTCTTCGGTGTTTTGAGTTTCTGTGATTTCTGGAAATATGCAGCAGATAGATTGTTTTTTAAGTCTTTGAAAATGACAAGAGGCAGTTCAGCATGAACTGTAGCCAATCCACAGTGAAAAGATTATTGTGCATAGGAAATTTGAACACCTATATTTTTGCTCAAATAGTACTGTTTGGGATGTGCAATGTTCTTCCTTAGTTCAGCAAGTGTCTGCATAGAAATGTTATTATTGCATGTGGGTTTGTGAAAATGTAGTTTTGAATTTACTTGGTGAATTTTTATTTTGAAAAATGTTGTTTTTTATGGCCAGTAGATCTTTATTGGACCAGCAGATCTTTTAAAAATGAAATTAAGGATTCCCTCGGAGTGTCAGGAAAAATATCCTTTATTTTATTACCTCATTTGTTCTGAAGGATAACTGCCTGTTTCTCAAGTTCAGCCTTTATGCATTTTCTCTCAGATGATTGCTGTCTGATTTTGTCTCACCCAGACCTTTCTGAGCTTTTCTCCTCTTTAATGCAGGTGGTGTGGGCAACAAGTAGCAGAATAGGTTGTGCCATTAATTTGTGCCACAACATGAACATCTGGGGACAGATTTGGCCCAAGGCTGTTTACCTTGTTTGCAATTATTCCCCAAAGTGAGTAAATTTAATGCTATTGTCATTTATTAACAACATGAAAATCATTCAAATTCTAAATTATTCTCATTTTTTATCATGCATTGTTGAGCAAAATATACCATATAAGTTAAGTTTACTTAACAGAGAAGCAGTTCTCACTTGCCTCATGTATAAAATCAATACCTAATATGAAAATTTAAAAAAATATTATCTTTGCAAAGATAAAAATCATATATTTAAACCTTTGGTTTTATTTATTGTGCTATTGTATCCTATAAATATTTAGTAATTTTGATTTATTGCAGTTTAGCAATTTGAGATTAATTGAGGAATATATTTTCATCTATGTAAAGACTATTTAAATGTCATTGAAAATATTGTATGGTTCAACTTAGGGTCAAATGTAAATCTAACTTTTATCTTATAGGTGAATAAACAGATAAATGCTCTATTGAATAGCTTGGTTTTATAAAATTCAGTTTCATAATTTTTAACAATGTGCATACTGAATTATAAGGGCCATAGTGGCATCATAGTTATAGTTCTGAGTTGGGCCGCAAGCCTCAAGGTCAGCAATTGAAAACAACCAGCTGCTCCGTGGGGGATAGACAGGTGTCTCTACTCCCATGAAGAGTTAGTCTCAGAAACTCACCGGACAGTTGTACTCTGTCACTGTCCACTCAAGGACAGTGAGTTTTCATACTGAATTATACATTCTCAAAAGAAGGAGTCAGTAATCTATATTTAAACAAAGTAAACAAAAAGTCTCATACTGAAAACCAAAATCGATTTTGGAAGATTCTCATATAGTGATATTTTCGAGCAGTTATAAATTATGCTAATAGACTATCTGTTAATAGAGTGGATTATCTCTTTAAGGGGAAACTGGTGGGGCCATGCCCCTTACAAACATGGACGACCCTGTTCTGCTTGCCCACCTAGTTTTGGAGGGGGCTGTAGAGAAAATCTGTGCTACAAAGGTATGTGGTATTGTTTGAATCTGATTTTAATCTAGCTTGTGCATTTACCAGTGTTTAAAAATGAGGCTAATATTTAATTTGTACATGAAAAAATTTCAGTGCTCTAGACTTTTAAAGAAACCATTTAAGTATCTATGATACCAATCTGCCTCTCAATAGCTCTTCATGCTGAACCTAGATTATTACTTCTAAGTCTTTTATTGATTTATCACAGACTGATCAGTGTATGTATATTTTTAAAGGCTACCTTCATGTATTGTTGACAAGGGTTATTTCCATAGCTGTCATTATACTTTAAGGGTTCAGCAAAATACCTATCTGTGGATTGTATTTAATGATGCTCAATGAACTACACTGATTTTGTACTTCTCAGGACAGAGTAAACAATATTTCCTTTTGAAATAAGAATGCATATGATAAAGCTTTGTAAAAAGTTATACTCTTATTTGGCATCCAAGTGAATATTTCTATTCCCTTTTACTTTAGTTTTGTTTATGGTTAACTGAAGATTAATGCAGATCAAATATAGCAGAAGATATTTCAATAAATGCCACCTTTTTCAGTGCACATAAAGAAATATTTTTTCTTAATGGCTGAATGCTTATTAGATATAGTAATGTATTTCACACTGGTATATTAACCATTTTTAAAATTCTTAGAAGCATTTGACATATTTTTCATTGAGTGAGTGTCCGTCTGTTTTTCCTCCTGTCTATCCCAAAATTTCAACCTGCTTTCCCCTTTACAAGTTGTTGTAAGTTGCTGACTCAGCATGACGTGATGTGAAACAGAAATAACTGATGCCTGGTGTGGAACCATTTCCACAGTATTATGAGCCCATTGAAAGCCTTACGGATAACCACAGAACACAATCTTTTCCCGAGGAACCACATAGTACTGCAGGTTCGCTATTAGTCTAACCACAAAGGTAGCAGTTCAGACCCATGAAAGATGACTGTCAGCTCCCGTAAAGACTGACCCTGTCCAGGCTCCGATGGGTCAGAATTGACTGCATGGCATTGGGTTTGGTGGGGATGTTTTACCTAAGATCGCCTTCCTCTCACTTTCTATTTCCATGTTCAAAGTTCTGAGTTTTCAGCCACAGATGTAAAGGATGGAACATGATAATGTGCACCTCAAAAAATATGCCATTGTCAGGCCCATAATTGAGATCAACGTGGGGAAATTCATGTTGTTTATTCTCCGTTTTAAGTTTCTATGCATTAGATTCCCTCTAAAAGAAAAAAAATTGCATGTAAATGGATATTGTAGAAAAATAACAGCATCTCACTATACACCAATGTGTGTGTGTGTGTGTGTGTGTGTGTAGGTGGGAAGACTCTAAATATGATCTTCTTCAATATATGTAGAGTATAATTTAATTTGGAAACAAAACAAACTGCTGAAACCTTGGTTTCATTTGATTTCCAGCTTTCATGGTATCAATATGAAAACCAAATACTGATAACAGTCCAATATTAAAAAAAAAAAGTTTGGAAATGACTCCAATGAGTATTAGCCAAATGCCAGCAGAATGGATCAGAGGCCCCAAAGTTTTTATGTTTATTTCATCTATGCTAGCACAGGTCATAAGGTGACCATTTTTAGCTACAATGCTACGTAGACATTTGGCATATTGTTGTTAGGGGACTTTGTGTAGATGTGATACGTAAGATTCACGCCTCTTCAATCTGTTCTCTGGAGCAGAAGGATCAGACAGCTATTACCCTCCCCGAGAAGAAGAAACTAATGAAATTGAACGGCAGCAGTCACAGATCCGTGACACCCATGTTCGGGCAAGGGCGGATGACAGTAACAGAAACGAAGTCAGAAGCACGCAACAAATGTGTAAGGCCTTTGCATTTCATTGACGTGATTCCTTTCCAAAAATATTTGAAGTGTAAATAGCATTTCCATTGATATTTTTTAATTTCGGTGACCATTTTTAGAGTGAAAAGAATTTACCTGTAGACTGAAAATAATGCAGCATAACATATTTCTTTCCAAACATTCAACTGTTCTTTTGGTGGGCTTTCCTGCTTTCCATAATCTACAGTATGCATGGGGATCACACTATGTATGGAGAGTTCTTGATTAATGTAGTTCACTGTCGGAAATGTCCAACTTCATGGTACTTTCTGATAGATGACTGTTTTACTATTTATATACAGGGTACATATGACAGTTTAAATGCGAAAACATTACATTTTATTTTGGGGTAGAAGAATCCCATCAAAGTACAAATGATCTTTTTTTTTCTTAAATAACATTCTTCTTTCAATGACCTGTAATAATAATAGTTAGTAGATTAGTGAACACATTTAACTGTAGTAATTAAATATAATCATACGTGCCCTACAAAAATCTATAATTCTATTTATTTCCTGCATTAATGTGTGGTTATCTGGTCCTGTTTTTAATCTAGTGAGGGCTTTGTAAAAATAATATTGTGTAGTTATGTACCTGCCATATTCCTGAAAGTGGTTCTGCTGTCACAGAACCTTTTGTAGGGTGCATCGTTTTGCTTTACCCTTGATAGATGGTACATTTATGTTTCAGATCATTTAAAGATGTTCTCATGATGACATGACCAGGACATGGCAGGGCAGAAACTCAAACTAAATCAAGAGCAACACTCTGGAGAGTAAAGGAGTTTTTCAGATTCTGTGTTTGACTCAGGGTTCACTGCACAAAGGTCTTCAAACTTGTGATTAAATGATCGCTCAGGGATATTCTTTTTCAGACAGATCTGTGAGAAATTTTATTCAGCATTAAGCTCTTTTATGTTGTCTAAATTATTGTATTTTGTTCTCTTCCCGTTAGCCCAAATCGTTTCCTGTGAAGTAAGATTAAGAGACCAGTGCAAAGGAACAACCTGTAATAGGTAATAATTTTACTATTCTAAAAATTAACTGACAACATGTGAGCATGATCATTATTTTCTACTGTAATTTGGAGAAATTAAGATTTTTCTCCCCTTTTCTCTGACTTAGATATGAATGTCCAGCTGGTTGTTTGGACAGTAAAGCTAAAGTTATAGGCAGTGTACACTATGAAATGGTAAGCATTTTGAGTATTATCACTTGGGGCTATACAGCTGTTCCATTCGATTCTTCACTTTTTAATGTGGAAAAAAATGTATAAAGGTCTCTAGCCATTCCATGGGAGAATAATAAAGTTGTTTTCTCCTGTAAAGATTTATCGTCTCAGAAATCCTATATAAGGTGACTGTGAGTTAGAATCAACTAGATGGCAATGATTTTAGGTTTCGTTATGTAAAGCATAACTCTTTCCTATAGAAATGTAGTTCTTGGTGTCTTTGGCAAATTCTAATATTTCAACATCCCTTTCTTCTTTCCTCTTCTCCAAGCAATCGAGCATCTGTAGAGCTGCGATCCATTATGGTTTAATAGACAACGATGGCGGTTGGGTAGATGTCACCAGACAAGGACGGAAACATTATTTCATCAAATCCAATAGAAATGGTATTCAGTCTATTGGGTGAGTATCTAAATGATCTTTTGGATCATATTATTTTAAATTAAAACAACAAGTTAATGCATTTCAATAAGGAATCATATACATTTAGTTTGTAAATAGAAAAGTTGGTAATCTTTTGTGTATGGATATGTTGTTGTTTGTTTGTTTCCCCCCTGCCCCTGGTAACCATGAATTAACTTGGTCTCTATATTTGCCATTTCTTGTCTTTTTATATAAGGAAGGTCATAAAGTATTTGTCATTTTGTCATTAACGTACCTCACTCAGCATAATGTCTTCGATTCTGAAGCATGTATTAACATCTTGTTTCTTCTACGTACTGAGTAGTATTCCATTGTATGCATGTACCACGTTTTGTTTATCCATTCATCTGTTGAAGGGCATTCGCTTTGTGTCCACCGTTTGTCTATTGTGAATAGTGCTGCAGTGAACAGTGGTGTTTTAAGTCTCTGAGTCTCTGCTATGGAAAAGTAGCTCTAATTGTAGTCATTTTCAAGAATCTCTCCATTGGGTTCCACAAGGGTTATATTCCAACCAACAATGATAAGGATTCCAAATTTCCAGATCCAGGCCAACATTTATTATTTTCTGTTGTTGTTTTTTTAAATTGTAGCCATTCTAGTGGATGTGCAATGATACCTCATTGTGATTTTGATTTGCATCTTTCTAATAGCTAATGATGTTGACCATCTTTCAATGTGTTTGGTGTCCATTTGAATGTCTTTGGTTAAATGTCATTCAAAACCTTTGCCATTCTATGAATGAGTTATTTGCCTTTTTGTTGTTAAATTCATGTATATATATATATTATTAAATTCTTATAAAATAGATGGTTTCTGAAGATAATCTCCCAGTCAGCAATTTATATTTTACCTTTTTTGGTGAAATCTTTTGACGAAAAAAGTATTCAGGTTTAAAAAAAAATTTTAGTATTTAGGTTTTATGATATCTCATTTATTTATTTTGACATTTTTGTTTGTGCTTTGTTATTGTATTAGATCATCTATTATTAAAAGATAGCACTGAAAATAAAATACCTATATTTTCTTCTAAGGAAAAATATATGGAAAACTATATCTATCTATCTATCTATCTATCTATCTATCTATCTATCTATCTATCTATAGTTTTAGTGTGCACATTGAAGCATTTTATCCATTTTGAATTTGTTTTTACGTGTGGTGTGAGTCATGGATCCTATTTCATTTTTGCACATGTGGAAATCCAGTTTTCTCAGCACTAGTTACTGAAGAGACTTACCTTTTCCTGTCAAATTAACTTACACCCTTGTCAAAAATCAGTTGATCAGAGATAAATGGATTTAAAACTGGACTCCCACATCTCATCCATTGGTCTGTGCATCTTGTTGTGTTAGGCTGGGTTGATGAGCAAAACAAATCCAGTGACATTCATATATGTGTAATAAAGAACTTTATATAAAGAAGTAATTATATATCAAGAAATATCCCACCCCAGTCCAACTCAAGTCCATAAGTTTGATACTACTCTGTAAGTCCCTCTTCAGATTCATGCAGCCACATGCAATGATGCAGAAAGATCACAGGCCCATGGTGCAAAGTCTTGTGGATCCAATGATGGTGGCTCTGGCAGCAATCATGGTCATCCTATAGGAAGGTGAAGCCAACGAGAAAGGGGGAGGTTCCCAGATTCCTCCCTATGAGAAGGCCACACCCACAAGGAGGCACTATTGGGTTGTGACCTGATTGATAGGTCGAATACCACCCCTACACTTTCATAACTCTTCGAGTTGACATGAAATTATGTAACTACCACACTTGCTATATCAACATTAGGCTATATTGATTATTGTAGCTTGGTAAAATGTTTTAAATCAGGAAATATAAGTCCTCATATTTTGTTCTTCACTTTCAAAATTGTCTCAGCTATTTAGGGTCTTTTGTAATTCTACATAAAATTAAAGACTGACTTTTTTATTTCTGAAAAGAAGGCTATTGTTATTTTGATTGAGATTACGTTGAAACTATAGATCACTATGGGAAGTATTGACACATTAATGATATTGTCTTCCAGTCCATGAATGTGTAATGTCTTTTCATTTAGTTAAGTATTTTTAACATTTCTTTCAGCCAGGTTTTGGGTTTTCAGTGCCTAAGTCCTCTAAATCCTGGTTAGGTTTATTCCTAGATATGTTATTCTTTTAGATGCTACTATAAATGGAATTGTTTCCTTGGCAGATATCTCGTTGCTGGTATTTAGAAACCAACAGATTTTTGTTTTTTGATCTTGTGCCTTGCAACTTTGCTAAATTTCTCTCCTCGCTCTAGACATTTCCTTGTGGACACATTTTTGATTTTCTTTTTGTAGGATCATATTATCCCTGAATAAAGACAGTTTTATTTCTTTTTACAATAAGAAATGGGCCCTAGTAACCCCATGGATACGTGTTGGGCTATTAATCTGTAAGGTTAACAATCCCAACTCCTGAATTGTTTTGAAGGAGAAACAGGGAGATAGCTGCTCCCATAAAGATCTATAGTCTCAGAAAACCTACAGAGTTCTACCCTTTCCTCTGTGCTTCTGGGAGTCAGAAACAACTATGCGGCTGCAGGTTTGGTATTCGGTTTTGGTTTCTAGTCTAGAATCTTTCCTTTCTCTTTCTTATTTGTCAATCCCTTCGACCGCAATGTTCAGCGGACGGGATGAAAGCGAGCACCCTTGGCCTGTTTCTCATTTCAAGGGGAAAGGTCTCAGTTTGTCTTCATTACTTTTTTTAAAATATTTCTCTTATTGAGGACACCAAAAATCTTATTCTAAAACATCAAAGATTTTTTTGTCCTTTTCTCTGTAAAAACTAAACATTGATCTTCACACAAGGAATTTTTTTTTAACTCTTTGATCACATGAAGCTCTACACTTGAGTAATGTTGGAATATATAGTGATAAAAAAGAAAATGATTGCTTGAAACGCATGCACATTGTAGCATGGCCTATGTATAAATATTAATTAATTGATTAATATATTTATTCAGGAAATGCTTTATCCATTGCTTTTAAGTGATAATAAATATTAGTTATTGCTTTCAGTAATCTAAGCATTCACTCCTTTTAAACATATTTTTATTATCTGTATTGCAAAAATTCTCTTGAAACATGAAGGTTATATTTAAATAGTTTGCATATTTTGTGCTTCAAAGATTATTTCTTCTTTTGTGTACATTGTTTATAGATGATGACAATTAAAATTGAATTTCAAGTGATAGAAATAAAGACTAGTTAAAAATTTCCAACACTTCCGTCTTGAGCCAGTGTACACAGAGGGTGCACTGTGTTAAAATTTAGCATTCCACATAAACCTTACCTTCTGTAATGGATGTCTTTCTAAAACGCTGAGCAATTGATATTTTGATATGTAATGGTGTACCGAACCTCTGTTCTTGGGTTTTAATAGTGCATGTACTGCATGCACACTCAGATGAAAACAGTTTGCTTCTGTAAGGTATACTTATTAGCTGGTAATACTTTACCTTGCATTTACTGTTGTGAAAGATCAGTTTGATTTTATAGCCATAGTGAAGTATTAATCTGAGAGTATTAATTTTAACAGTGAAATACTTAGATATAAATATGTAGTGTTTGCTTTTGTTGTTTCCTTGATAGTGCCGTTGGGTGAGCATTGGGACTGCTAATCACAAGGTCAGCGGTTCAAATCTACCAGCCCCTCCATAGGAGAAAAATGTCACATTTTGCTTCTATAACCTGCACTGGGGTGCTCTGAGTCAGAATCAACTCGGTGACAGTGGGTTTGGCACTTTTTGATATTACTTGTAACTAATATGAAAAGATGTCTTTCAGTGTTAAGAATGATATGATATTAATGTGGATCAAGCTTTTAAAAAGTAGCCCATTGCCTAACCCACTGTGCCACCAGAGCTTATCGGCAATATGCAGTTAGCATAAAAACAGGTGAAATATTTTTAGAATACTAAATATCTGGATATTTTATTTAAGAATGACTAAGAAGAAATAAAATATACCTAACCCTGTAAACCACCAGGAATTATAACGATGTATATAAATAAATTATTAATTTCTCTCTTTTTATCTTTAGCAAATACCACTCCGCTAATTCCTTCACAGTCTCTAAAGTAACAGGTTAGTACTTTATCTTTTTTATTGCTTTTCTTGCTTTTATGTTGACTGTTGCTTCCAAAGGAATCGCTTACTGTTTTGTGTCTCAATTCTCGCAGTTCAGGCGATCACTTGTGAAACAACGGTGGAACAGTTGTGCCCATTTCAGAAGCCTGCTTCGCATTGCCCAAGGTAACCTTGCAGAAATCTTATCTTTTGTTTTTGAATCGGGGAAAATTATGACACTTTGCTTCTGTGATAGCTTTGGTTAGATTTAAGTGGTATATGATGATCTTGAACTGCTTAGCAGGAGAGAACAGCGTGGTATCAGAAATTACATGCACTTCGAGTGTGCTTCCCCCAAATGGAACAACACTATCTGCATATAACTTCTATTTATCTCCTTGCAATGTTCCATATCTGTGCGAGAACCCCAAGTAAAGTATCTTTAACTACTATTTAGTATTATAATTTTGTAAAAATTACTTGTGTATGTGTGTGATTACTGTATGTGTGTTTGAAAACGTTGTGCTTTTTTATATCATTCTAAAAACAATATATTTAAGATATATTGTATAGTCAAGATGAAAAAGGTGTTGATAAAAATGTGTCATCAATTTTTGTCCAAAACTTTAAGAAATTATAGATAATGACATATTTACCACATTAGTGTTTTATGCATCAGGACCTAACTGCTCAGTAACAGTAATTAAAAAGCAAATAAGCAAAACTTTCCAATGGTCTTTCTTTCATCTGATCTTATCTAAGATACACTCAGCCTGGAGCTTAGGTGATTCGAGTAGGCGGTGACTCGCTGACAAATACCGTCTCATTTAGCAGTCAATGGGAAATGCCATTCTTCTCACAGATCCGCGGACATCTTTTATGGAAAGAAACCCTTTAAACTCGGATTACATTCACTTTTATTTCAATAGTTCCAATTTAGATATTGTATATAAAATGTCAGATTTAGATTTTATAGTGTTAAAAATTAGAAATTAATGAATTCGGCCTATAACAATGTGGCCGTTTCTTTACACCTAAGGAAGATTCATTTCAATTGGCAAAGAAGTTTCAACTCAAATATTTTAAAATGGTTTTAGGAAACTTATTGATGTTTTCATTAAATTATGGTTTTCTTTTTTTAAATTATTATTATTTTTTTAATCATTTTATTAGGGGCTCATACAACTCTTATCACAATTCATACATACATCAATTGTGTAAAGC